AAAATGCTAAGAAAAAAAAATAGATATATATATATATATATATATAGATAGATAGATAGATAGATAGATATAGACCCAACTCAATTTTTTAGCAAAAGAAAAAATAAAAAATTTATTTATGAGCAACTGGCAGAAGACTAGAAAAATTAATAAATATATACTTTGACCTAAGAAGAAAACGAATCATATTATTTCGCTTCAAAATTTTAGCATGGAATAATGACAAAAAAACTGGCAACATAAAAACTTTTGAAAATTAGTCCAAAAAATATAGAGAAAATAGCAAGTATTTAAAAACCGGCCCACCGGTTTGACCGTGAACTAGCCGGAGGTCTGGTTCTTGGTGAGTTGAAAATCAACCCTACATCAAAATGTTTAGAATCGACTTGAACCGGCAGTTGAGTTAGACCGAACAACCACTCCCCCTATTTACGCGAATCAAATCTCCAAAAACCCTATTCAGTATTTTCGCTCAGGCTCCCTCATCCCGATCCCAATCCCGATCGCCATCCCCTCCCGTCACCTGCTCCGCTGGTCGCCGTCCGCTTGCCGGCGCCGCTTCTTCTCCGCCCGATCACCGGTGTCTCACCCACAACCCAGAGGTAAGTCTCCCTTCTTTGCTTCTGATATTGTAATTTTTATTAGTGCAAAAAATTTTGCTGAGTAATGTGTTGCATTGCATGTACCTATGGGATTTATTGATTTAATGTCATTAGCAATGGAAACTCATTGACTTTCTAGGCTGGTTTATCGATGTGGTTCCTTTTGTTATTTGGTGGTTTGCAAAAACTAGTTATTTTGTTGGCATAACTTGATATTTCAGCTTATGGTAATTGTTTCCTTACCTCATTTTGTGGCTAACTCATCTCAAAATGTTTATGGCTATGAAGATCTATATTTCATATTATATTTTTTATACTACACATATTGCAACATTATTAATTTATCAAGTCATTCAAGTTATATTTAATTTTTTCTTATATTTATGACATCACCCGGTTCAAACCCGGTTCAACCGTTGAACCTTGAACCTCCTCATTTATCGGTTCAATGCCCAGTTCGATTTTCTGAAACTTGAAAAATAGTTAGGAAGAATCACCATCACCAACATAGGGGTATAAATAATCCAATTCAGGCTTTAACTAATACAACGTCATTGAACCATGATATACTATAAATACAAGCTAAGCATTTATTACTAGAGCCACTAACCAATTTCCTGCATTTTTTTAATGAATGAGTATAAATTTAAATTTTTTTAAATAATTAAAAAAATTTAATTAAATAAACACTAATGCTTATCAATTTCATACATCTAAGAGTGAAATTGTGAAACAAAAGCTATGATAAACACTAATTTTTCTTGCTGACATAAACAGAGAAATATAAATGTTATAAAACAAGACAAAATATTAGGTAATATGAGCAAAAATATAATGCTTATAAGAATTATTGGGGTTTGCGGCGTGTGGAAATGATAGAACATTGTAGTTAAATCTTATGAGAATGGAGGAATCTAAGAAGAGTGAATTATGAGCGAACCAAATGACAACATTTGAGAAGAGCAAACCGTGAACAAACTGGGAGGAGGGAATGACAAATCCCAGTGCGACTTCACCTTCAAGAATTTGACCTCGCGAAAGTTGAGAGGGCTCGTAGCCTTGTAACTTTCGGGCTTCTAGCAGCAAGTGTGATAGGCAGAATAGCAAAGAGGGGGGGTGGGGTTTGTCTTTGGAATTGGAATATGTCGATGCAGGATAGCAAATATAGGGATTAGGGAACAGCGAAGTGTAAAACTGAGAGCAAGATTTATGGTCCGTTTGGGGTAGCTTATTTGGTGCGGTGGCGTTTTGAAAACGCACCTAACCTGTTTGGATAAACTGCATTTTGGCAGCTTATGCGTTTTTAAAATACTGAAAACAGTGTTTTCACACCGTACCTATCTAGGTGTGGTGACAGCTTTCTGACAGCGGTCTGACTTTTCCAAAAAAATAAAAAATTATAATAGCAGGTGCGGTGTGAATAAACTCTAAGATGGGCATTCTGCTGAGTCTGACTTGCATTTGGCACTGAGCTTGAAGACTCAGCTGCCCTCAGCCTGTTAAATCTCCTCTGAGGTGATGCAACACTACCCCTAGAATCTGTTGGAACTCTAACCCAATTAAGGGTAGTTCCTCGCCCTGTCCTGGTCGGTGGCACCAAAAGCAAGCGTTAGATCAAGACAGACACTCGCCCTTGTGAGACCTTCCATACTTGTCACATTTATTCTCTTCAAACTGAGTGTCATCTCTGCTAGATTTGGTCTTCTTAGCATTGGTATTTCCTGATTGGAAGCACTGCCAGCCCTGAGAGCCTTGAAAAAACTTATATCACTCTGAATATCTCTTCTAAAAGTCCCTCCTCCTCTGAGTAGCTTCTAAATCCAGCTCAATCCTCCTAGCCCTCTCCATCATAACAGAATAATCATTGATTCCAAGCAGAATCAATGATTGTCTAATCAAATCTTTCAACCCAAATAAAAATCAATGACACTTTTTCTTTATATTTGGAATCAACTTGAGCGCATACCTTAAGAGCATAGTGAATCATACTTCATACTCCATTATTGAGCGATCACCTTGTACAAACCAGATAAATTTGTCATGTAGTTGTCTCCTGGCTGACAATGGTACGAAACCTTCTATAAAAGCGCTCACAAACTCGTCTCACTGAATCATGCGACTGGCTCTACCCTAATTTTTCTCCTGCAACTGTCCATACCATCATCTCTCTACTTCTCACTCTAAGAAGAAAGTGGCTAAAGTAACCCTCCTTTTTGGATGACAAGATCACATCTAAGATTTTCTCCACTCTTAGCAGCCGGTTTACAACATCCACTAGACTTTCAGAAAAAAAAAGTGATCCTCTATCCTGAAATAACTTTAAGTACTAATCCATCTGACCTACTCCACTGGAACTGACCTGAGTCTGAGAGTTCCTTATCAATTGAGTCACAACAATCATCATCACAACAAATGCATCTGCATTCACAGTAATCTGTGGGGTATATCAATTTCTACTATATCATCTCTAACTTCATCCTCTTAATTTCCATATTTCTAAGATAACATAAAAAAGATTTTAATTAAACACAATCTAACCCTTTATTAATACTGCTTATAAATTAATTTAATCGTCCTAATAGCTCTTGTTGATCATGATTCAACTAAATAGCTATGAATTCACTTTTGGCACACCTGATCTGATCTGATAGATAACTATCTACAAATTTATAAAATCTTCAAATATATAAGAGTTACTAAAACTCACAGTGCAATAATATCAAAACACTCATAAATAACAACATAATCAGAAGACAACATCTCAAACCAGTGTTGAACAGTATAACAGAAAACAGTACAAAGAAACAATCATAAATATCTAGCAGAAGTGATCCTCTTCCTGTAAATTAATCAACCTATAATTTTTTTTTCCTGAAAGAGAATTAAATTCAACAGTAAGTTTGACTTAATGAATAATTATAATCTTATTATGCATTAAATTACAATGTCTATGTTGTACATGAATGACAAAAAGAAAATGCAATTCACTACCTTATAAAATTTTAAACTTTTATTTTAATTTTCTCTCTTCCCGTTTCAGTTTAAGTCTATCATTTTTTAACCTTTTTAAGATTCATAATAGAATCACTGTCATAGTTGAAGGTATCATCAAAACTATATCCTAAAGCACCCAAAAAAATGTACCTGAAGGTACCCTCAAAATTGCACTCAAAGGTACACCTTTATCTTTTAGTTTATCGTGTGCGAGCTCATTGCATTCTCTGTCAGTACCATCTGGAGGTAATATTGTATGGCTTAAACATTTAATTAACATTTCATATAAATTAAAATCCTTTAAAAATATACTTTCATATGTCAGTCATTTTCCTCCCATTTGTGAAACATAATTCAAACATTCAATTTGCAAGACAAAAATGAAATAATTATTTCAAAACATTTAATAGATGATTATTCATTTAATAAATCCTTGATTTAATACATAAAAAAAAACTCTGAAAAAATTTAATCCCTTCACTTCACTTCCTTTGAATAACACCTAAATCAATTAAAAGTGCATATAATCATAAAAATCACATCGTAAAGAAAGTCTTAAATGTAGCTAACTTATTTAAATATGTAAGAATTTTATGATTAAAAATACTAACTTCTTTTAAACTTAAGATTATTTGCCTTCCTCAAATCTCTAGGATTTATCAGCATTCAATTCCTGAGTGATTTAAACCTCAAATAAGCATTTACATTATCAATTTAGTATTTACTACAAATAATATCTCAACATTTAACTTCTTCTTATTGTATGAAGTTGATAATTTTTTACTCCCAATCGTGCGAATTAAAAGTTCTTCACTTAAATGAGTCTAATTAAATTTGACTTCTTATTAACATTATTTAATTAACAAACACACATGTGCACATCTTCATTAAATAATTTATTAAAACAGCATAACTTAAAATCATTTGGTTGTTCGCAACTCTTCCTTTTTCCTCGCACAAGGAACTTTGTGCCACTCACTCGAATTTTAGGAATTAAATAACTTCAACCTGATTCAATAAAATGTTGCATCAAACACAGACATATGTATTTATTTATATAATAATATATAAATTAACTTATCAAAATACCAAATTTACCTTTTATAAATTTGGCTGCCCTAACCTCACACATGAGCTCCATCTTCTGCACACGAAGATGGCACCCCGGTTTCCGTCTTCTGCCTCTTCCTCTGCACGAGTGTTGCAAATCCTGTCTCCATCGCACGGCTTGACAACCCTAACGTACGCAGCTTTCTCCCTCCTTCGACTTGACCTCCTCTCAACATAGTTGCAACTGCACTGCTTCGCATGACAGCAGCGCACGTAGGGCTCACCTTCTCCTTAAGGCTCGACTCGACCTAATAGAGTGTGCACGATGTCGCTCTTCTTCTTCTTCTTCCTGGCTTCGGTAGTGTGGCACTACTTGACATCACAAGCCTCGACAACGTTGTTCCCTCCTTCCTCTACATGTGAGCAGCTATGGTGGGATCGAAACAGGTAGATATACACTCGACTCCTCTTCTTCCTCTTCTTCTTCTGGCGTTACTCCTGCGGCCTTCCCTCTCGTCTCTCAGTTCTCGATTTTATTGGTTCGGAAGGGAATATGACTCTTAAGTCGTAACTGAAGAAATACGTATCCCTGCACCTTCGATTTATTATTATTATTATTATTTTCAATTATTACAGCTCGGGAGTTATTCAGACCTATAACGCACAGACACTTTTAACTAAGAAGTCGTGCAATGTCTAAAACTTCTCGGACAACGACACTTGCAAAACACACCACAGACACGTGTCGGACACATCCTTGATGTGTTTAATTTAAATAATATTAAAATAAAAGAACAAGCATGTTAGACACACAAAATTAAATTAGTGAATTAAAAAATTTTAAAAATTACTTTTTAAACACCTATAGTATATTTTTATAACTAAAATTTAAAAAAAAAAAATTATTTAAAGATTAAACATATATGTTCAACTTATTCGTCAGTTACTTTTCTCACAGACAAGTTCGAGCGGTTCGTCAATCGCTCGTCTGGGCTGATTTTTCTCGTTATAGACATCATAGTTTTTTAAAGATAATGCTATTAAATTTTTATTTTTGTATTATTCTTAATATTTTATTATATATATATATATATATATAGTTTTATTGTAATGTCGTGTCTGACACGTACCTGTATCTTATATTTGTAATAATAGAAGTGTCTTGTGTCCATACTTTGTCATGTATGTATCCCCGTATCCATGTATGTGCAACATAGGAATTTTGGGTAGAATATCCGGTTTCTGATTCAAAACTAACATCGGCAATATAACTATACGTCTTCATTCCGTACTTGGTCATAGACCCTATAAATGTTTAGGGTTGCATAAGAGAGCTAGATGTTGCTTGCTGCACAAATGGAGGACTACAGCTATAAGAGGAGCCCAATGGCAATGATAAGGAGCAGAGAGAGCCTGCAAGTTGGCTATAGGGATTCTGGCGGCTGCAGAGAGGATTCTGACTATTGGATGACAGTTGGAGAGGCTTCAACGACTGTAAAAGTGAGCAGAGGAGAACCTGTAGGCTCGAAGTTGGTTGTCAATGAAGTCCAGGGCTTAAAATTTTTGAAAGAGAGACAATGAAAGGCTTGATCTCGACCGACGTTGAAGGAAGAAGACGAAGCGGAAATCAAACGCTCTGATCCCTTCGATCCCACGCATGGAGGCTTCGTCCAAAGGTTGCAGTTGACGTAGATGGTGCATATGATGGATCAATTCGAACAATCGACTCGAACAGTGATGTAGATAATGCAGACAACAACCCTCAAATGATTCTAACAACGTCGAACTCAGGAGAAAACAAGACGAGTCGTACCTACAACTCTGATACCATGAAGAAAAAAAGTGTGACACAATACTTAATTCTCATTACCAATCTTCAACTATAAGACTACATATATATATAGCAAAACCTGTCTCTCATAATTTACAATCTTACCAAATATATCTAGCATAAACATGAAAATAAAATAATTGTCAAAAAAATATAAATAGGAAGAGAATAAAAACTAATAAAGTAGTTTCATTCGTCTCAAATTAATCCGTAGATCACTCCTTGGTTGGTCGGCCTCTGCCCACCATGAAAAGAAGGCCAGCCCTCCAAGATTTCCAAAAGGGGTGTATCGCAGCATGAAATGTTTTTATTTTTTCCGAACTTTTATTTTTAAAACATGGAATCACATAACCTCTAAAATCATACCAGAATAGTATTTGTATGTTGCTTCCATTTTCATCATAAGTAAATTCAATCTACAATAACTTTATGATGATTGACTTATTATGAAACCAGGTGAAAAGGCTATCACACTAAAAGGAAAAGCTTGTAGAGCACACAAAACTATCAAAGTTTACTCACTCATGGTATATTTGAAACAAATTAACACTGATAAAAAAAAAAGGGCATCGACACAGCTCCATGTCATACAGAATTATCTTCTCTAAAATTTCTAAGATCACCTCTACACTAAAATGTTACAATGAAAATAACTGCACTTTCAAAACAACTTCTATGCCCGGGGTAACCTGCTTATTTATAGCCAACATTTTAATTTTAAATAAAAATAAAAATTTAAACGGCACCAGAGAGGAGTTCAATGAATTGAGCAGAAGCGAATCTAAAGAATATGCTAAGACGGTGCCCAGTATAAGAACAATTTTATCTTTTCTTATTATTATTATTGTTAGGAATAAATCGGCTTATTATGTTTAGAATTAGGTGGATGAATGGATTGAGTTTTGTATCCTAGGTTTCAAATTTTAGAAAGATTTCCTACCTCTCTAATTATAGGAATTGGGAGGGATCGCCTACTATTTGATTTGTTGGTGCTTATCCTTTGTATTCGTGTGAGTTATTAGTGTTGTGTTGCTTTGATTTGGTATAATAAAATTTGTGTTTGTCGTAATTTATGGAAAAACGTGTCGCTTTGATGTTGAATCGTACCAAATTGGTATCAGAATTGTTGATTTCTAGGAGAACAACTTAATCACTTGTGACGGAGACGTCTGTACTCTGGAAGAACCACTGAAGTGCTCGAGGGTGCCTCATACAGGGTGTGATCGACGTGATTGCGGCACAGTATAGGATAGATTGACGCGACAAGAGCTTGCGGGAAAGCATCTAGGGCATCGCAGTTGGAGCTAGCAGGGACGCAACGCAGGATTGCAATCTCCTTTGTGACTACATATCTCAAAATAGTCGCGATTAGAGCCCGCTGAGACCGCTAGGGATCACGACAAATAGAGACCTTAAGCTCCCATCATTCTCCACGTCGCGATCGCGCCTTTCATAAACGATTCGTGTGATCCAGTCATTGAAAGAGCTGGCTAGGAAGCATCGACAGGATTGCCGAAGTCCCCTAATTAAGCGCTACATTCACGATTTAACTAGCTGGGAAGCCTAAGACGGGATTGCGGCTGCAGGATTAGTTTTCCTGTGACTGAATATCACGATACAGTCGCGATAAATACTACCTAAGAAGAGACAACAAAATTTCAGTGTGCAAAAATTTTGCCTTCCAGATCGAAAATTTTTCTTGAAGTAATGGCAACAAAGAAGGTAGATGATTTGGAAAATAAATTGAAGGAAGAGATGGATCAACTTAAATGTGAAACGAAAAAAATGTTCTCCATCATAGAAGGAAGATTTTACTACATGGAAAACCGATTTGAGGGCCTATTTGAGAGCTGAAGAAACTATTTGAGATGCAATATAAGATTCCGTCGGCGATTCAATTTGCAAACCCTAACTAAGAGAAGACTGGAGAAGCCTTGGCTAAATCAAAAGGTGAAGAGATTGAACAAGAGGAACACGAGGTGGATTAGAGATTTCCAATTGAGCCGGTTGGGCAAAAACATGAAGAGGTTGTGCAAGGGGTATAAAGGGGCATGAAAACAAAAAGATAGAAGAAAATATGGGAATGACTATGATCACATGAGTGAGTTTTACCCTTGATACATGAGATAAAACAATGGAGGGAGAGTGTTGGTGTGGTGAAGTTAGGATTAGGAAGTTGAAGATGTCGATCTTCAAGAGAAAAGACGCACTTAGGTCGGTGTATCGAGTAGAGCAATATTTCATGATGAATAGGCTAATTGTGGAAAAGCTTATGGTGGCAGGGTTATGTTTGGAGGGAAAATCTCTAGCATGGTTTCAGAGAGGGAGGTTGGATACATAATCCGTTCGTGGGAAGTGTTTAAGGATTGTTTGTTAAAATATTTCTGAGCCAATCGGGAAGGAGACCCACACAAGCAATTCAATGCCTTAAGTCGGGAGAGGACTGTCATGCATTATAGAGAGAGATTCGAGCTATTATCGGGACAATTGAGAAGGACTTCTGAAATAGGATTGGATGGAAATTTCATGAAGAGCCTAAAACCCTACATACGGGTAGCAATTCGACTATTGAGACCAGGGATTGAGGGAGACAATGAAGTTAGCCTAGATGGTGGCGGACAAAAATCAGATGGAGAAGACCAGCAAGAGCAGCACGGGAGAGCCACACCGAATTGCTACAAGCACGATGATACCAAAAGCTCAAACAATGGAAGTCTAGAGGGAGGCTATAAGGGACAGGAATAATGGGTCACAACCAGAAGCAACGCTCAAGTACCTTACAGAGATAGAGATTCAAAAGAAGTAAGCAAGAGATTGTGTTTTCGCCGTGAGGAAAAAATTATCCCATGATACCGTTACAAGGATAAAAAATTACAAATTCTCACAATGCGTGATGAGAAGGTAAAGAATGAAGAAATAGAGACAACTATGGTTACCCTCTTACTTTTTCCTACATTGAAAATAAGATGTCTTTTGGGGGGAGGGAGGAGTATTGTTACGCCGGGCAATTTAGCTTTTATTATTATTATTATTATTGGGTATAAATAGGCTTATTATGTTTAGGGTTAGGTGAATACATGGGATTGAGCCTTGAATCTTAGGTTTAGGGTTTGAGAGAGATTTTCTACCTCGCAAATTATAGGAATTGGGAGAGAGAGCCTGCCAATCGAATTGTAGGTGCCTATCCTTTGTATTCTTGTGAATCATTAGTGTTGTATGCTTTGAGTTGATGTTTGGGAAATAAAATTTGTGTTTGCCCTAATTTCTATGGAAAAATGTGCCGATTTTAATGTCAAAAATACTCTCTAAAACTACTAATGAAATGAGTTATTATATGTGATACCAACCGCTTGCACTTGTTCTATCATAGAGATGATTTCTGAATTACTGATTAGTTCAGTTCTTTTAATTTTGATCATATTAACGATTAGATCAGTTGATATAAGAAAAATGGGGAACCAAATGTAAACAAGCTCAAACAAAATTGGTCAGGTTTCGCTATAACTGGTTGGATAACAGTATTACAAGTATGCACTTATATCATCAAATGAATAATTTAACTCTCGGGTGTTTAATAACAATAATTTAATTTCCTTAATAAAATGAACCACCAAATCTCAAAGAAGGACACCAACAATAAAACTGATAAAAACTTACGAATATCATGTATGACATGAGGCTGTTCTATCCTCTATCGCTCCGTTGGAATTCCTAACATTTCCAACAGCTTTTAGTGAGTTGCACTTCGAAAACTAACAATATCAACTCAACATTGTCCACAAGAAACTTCTAATCATGATCAAGCAGGGTTTAAGAAAAGGAACTATAAATATTTTCCATAAGCTACCTTGTTTGTGAAGAATCAAGTTGCATAGTAACAGGGCCATCATTTACCAAATTAACCTGCTCAAATTTAAGAATAAATATAAAAATATCAAGTATTTCCGGACAAACAATATATATATATAAGTCCC